GGTGCAGTGGCTGGAAGACAGGGACACGGACCCGCAGGTCAGGGGATGCTGGGGAGACAGGAGCAGAGGCCTGGCGAGTCCAGAGCAGGGTGAGCAGGGCGGGGCCTGGCGGGTGTGGACGTCTGGGATGCTGGCTTGACAGAGTGCACTCAGGTGTGGGTCTCCAGTCCTACAGCAGACGCCAGGAAACGGCGCCGCGTTCCCACAGCCGGCCACTAGGTGGCAGGCAAGAGAAGAAGGGTCCTCAGCCCCAGGCAAGCGCAGGGGAGAGCCAGGCCTGAGGGCGGTGCGCTCCCTAAAGACAACGGGCTTCCCCGCTGGGGGCCCGGCACAGGGCAGCGGGTAGGCAGGCTGCTCACTGCGCGACAGCCCGGGCGACGGCACCTAGGGTTCCCACCTCGCAGGTATTCTTACCTCGGGAATGTTTCTGTGGTACTGAGGACTGAACCCTGGGCTCTTGCATCCAGGCCTTTTTTATACTTTCAGACAGGGTCTCACCATGTGGCTAAGCCTTGGTTGGGTTTGAACTTGGGATCCTCCTGCCTAGCCCTCTACTGCCAGGATTGCAGGTGTGTGCCACCGTTCCCAGCTTTGGCAAATTTTAGAAAGTAAACTCACTGCCTCAGTGACAAGGCCTTGCTGCAGCACAGCCTTCGCAGTGCCACGTGAACACTGCTCGTGTGTCACCAACACCGTCCTTGAGCCCAGCGCTGGGGGGGCGGGGGAGGGACATCCTCTCCACGTGCCTCAGCCATGAGATGCCGGTGTCAGCTCTGGCCGGAAGGAAGGGAGAGGATGGGCCTAATCGGAGGGCTGACTTCACCCTTCCCAGAACAGCGGGGCTTTTCCCAGCTTTTCCTGCAGCTGGCTGCGGCCATGTGGCTCAGTTCTGTACAACTGGACATGAGCAGAGTGAGGCTTGCCACTTTCAGGGTGTGCCCTTCTCCCTTGGCTGGAATGTGGATGTGATGGCGGGAGCAAGAACAGCCACATTGGACCACAAGATAGGAAACCTGTACTGAGGATAATAAAGCAACGAGGAAGAAGCTAATGGGATCCCTCCATGGCTGTCCTAGGCTGCTTACACAGACTGCCAGGCAACAGACAGAGGTCATCTTCTGTCTTCTCATGTTGGCCTTGTTTCAGGGGCTAAGCATGCAGCCCAGGGAATATACAGACACTGCTTTGGAGTGGTTGGCCAGACAGAGGTCTAAATGAGAAAGTCTCAGCCATGGGGGAAAGCCAGACAAAGAGCACTCTGGGGAGAGAACAGAGAGTGCAGAACGGGAGAAGGGAGACTGTGAGGTATGGTAACAGTACCTCGAGAGGGGACAGTGGCTTCAACCGGAGGCAGCAGTGCGATATCGCAGAGGGTCAGCCAGAAGGAAGACCCCACTGTCCCTAGGGAAACTCCAGCTCCCACTTCGTCTGCCAGGCAGGCATGGCTGGCTCTGCCCCCTCACAACCAGAGAAGTGCCTGTGACCTAAGCCTGCCCAATCAGGGCACACCATTGCCCTGGCCAATGACAATCTGCCCTGAGCCTTTGGCTTTCATCCTCAGGAGACAGATACTATGTTCCAGCTGAGAAGTCAGTCAGACACACACCACTTTAGTCCCCTAACTGGGGACCCACCTGAGAGTAAAGCCAACACACAAAGAACCCATTTGAGCCCCAGGATTCAGCCACACCTGACACCAATCCTACCCCTTGGCCTTTTCAGTTATAAAGTCCCAGAAATTCCCATTTCTCTACAAGCTTCCAGCTTCCCAGGCTATGGAGTCACCAGGCATGGGTGGCACTTCTGGCTCTACCACGTGCTTGCTGGGTGACCTTAGGTGAATCACTGCCCTGCCTGAGTGTCATGGAAATGATAACACCTACCTAGCAAGGTCATTGTGAGGCTCAAACAAAACCTGCTAAGTCAGTTATCTACACCAGCAACACACACTCAGGATAACTGCTGTTTTTCTTACCAGGGGAGGGGCCTGGGGAAAAGAAGAAAGGGTCCATTCCTGGGTCCAGATGCCAAGGGGTGAAGAGAAAAGGAGGACGTTGGCTGCTCTCCTGGCCCTGTACCAAGTAGGACCAGCCAATAAGCAGGGAGTGGTGGCACACATCTATAATCCCAGCACTGGGGAGGCTGAGACAGGAGGAGGAGGGCCACTTCCACAGACCTCCTCTTTTGACCTGTCAATTGGATCTTTCCCTATGAATGGGTTGTTATCTTTCTTTGGGTGGGCCATGCTCTTCCTTTAAATGAAGACTCAAGAGAAACTTCCCATAGACTCACAAATTCTATTGCTTTCCACCCTCACAAGAGAAATATGAATGTTCCCAGCTCCAGAAAATACTGTAATGCACCTTTCTCTTGAGGACCAGCACTTCCATTTCTATTTCTTTTAAATTTCTGCCTCTTAAATCCCTTTATCCCTCTTTAAAAAATATAAGGAGCTTGGCGTGGTGGTACACACCTGTAATTCCAGCACTCGGGAGGCTGAAGCAGGAAGATTGCTGTAAATTCAAGGCCAACCTGAACCACATAGTGAGACCCTGTCTCAAAAAGATCAACAACAACAATGCACACTTCCTATGAGCGGGATCAGTGTGAGGTCCTTTTCACCTGGTGACACACTTGACACTGTCCAGCCTCTAAAACGGAGGGACTGACTTGTCCCCAGAACAGATGAGGGATGGGGAGGCACACAAAGAGCAGGACCCGGCCTTCTCTGCCCGGAATTCTGTTAGACAGTAGGCCCAGGACGATCCACACTCCCCTCTCCAGGCTGGTGTTCTGGGCTTTTCCCTCTGTGATCGTCTGGTCTTGGGGACAGATGCCCCAGCAGTGACAGAAAAGGGTTGGTAGGTCAGGAGAAAAGGGAAGGAAGCTGGGAGAGGAAGGAGTGGGGCCACATGGGAGGGGACATTCCCAGGGGAGGAGCTAGGGACACAGTCCCCTGGAGCAACAGCGAGCCTCCAAAGTGATCAGAGGCTCTTCCCACCACCGGAGGGGGCCTGTCCTGCACTCTAACATTTCGGGGACCACTTTCCTGCCCACCCTTGCACTGCAGACCCCCCCAGTGAGGGTCATCCCCTCTCTGTGCTCCAGCTTTCCCAAGTGCCACCTGCGCAGCGAGACTGACCCCAGAGCAGCGAGGTGGAAGGAAGCGATGCCCAGTAGTGTAGTGTCGTCCCCAACTCTTCCCGCGGCTCAGCTCAGGTTCCTAGAGCTTTCAAACCCTGCACCCAAACCACCCTTATCCTCCAGGCTTGGGGACAGGAAAGGCGGTCACTGTCCTAGAGAGGCCACCTGGACACCCCAGGCAGGAGCTGCCAGGAGGAAGGTGAGGCCCAGTGAGACAGGACAGGCCCCGCCAGCTGCTCTGCGACCCTCAACCTGTCCCCTGCTCTGCTTGGGCTCCTCATCCAGGCCCAGCTCTTATCACTGCTGCTGCAGCCTCCTTAGGGACACCTTGCCCGGCCCACCTGTGTCTCCAGCACGCCCTGGTGCCCTGGCGTGCGGAGGTGTTCACCATCTGTCGCCAGCGTCTCTGGACGCGCCTCGTGACCCAGTTCCTTAGCACAGCGCTAGCAAAGTCTGCTCAGTGCAGGGGACTAGGGCACAGGTGGACAAGTGACAGGCGGACAGGGCACAATGATCTCCGCTTGCACAGGGGCCCTCTGGGCAGCAGCAGGACCCCGGGGACCCAAGGACCAGGGTTGGGCTCAGCCGCGGCCTGCGGACAGCGCTGGTCCAGGCGGGCGGGCAGGGCCACCACTGTCGCTCAGGAGACCCCAGGCCCTTCCTGCACGTGCCCCTGTCACGGCCCAGGCCACTGTCCCCTCCTCAGCCCTCCCTGTCCCCGAGCCCCGGGGACGCTCGTCACCCTGCCCTCTTCCCGCGAGTCCCCGGGGCCCTGGGAAGAGTCCCCAAGGCTGCCCCCCGTGGAAGTGGGAAGGGACACGCGTGGGAAAGGCGCGGGAAGGCGATGGGGCGGCCCGCCACGGCGGGCCCAGGGCGAGGACCGCCACCTCCTTACCTGGGAGCCCGGCGCTCTCAGCCCGGCCCCCGGAAGGACCCGGGCCGCGGGACGGCGCAGGCCGCTAGGCTCAGCCTCCGGCCAGGTCAGCAGCGGGGCCGGGGAGCGTCGCGAAAGAGGCTCGGGGGCCGGTTCGCGGAAACAGGAGGAGATGGGTCGGCGAGATGTGGTCAGCACACAGGGCCCGCAGGCCCCGAGGACACCGTACAGCTGTCCTTCCCGGCAGCGGCGACCCGGCAGGCTGCACCGTCTTTTCGGTCCAGCCAAAACTGGGAAAACAGCCACAGTCCCTGCTTGCAGCACTCAATCCCGTCCCCCAACCCGCGGTAACCTATAGGAATGGGCCTCCGCCGAAAAGCGAGGAAAAGGCCAATCAGAACCCCAAGAGGCGGGGCGGCCCACTCAACTCTTAAAGAGACGACGTAGCAGGGACGCGGAGCCTCCCGTTTACTTACCCAGAAAGTGGCCTGGGTCGCGGCCCCGCTCGAGGAGGGCGCCCTGGCTCCGCCTCGGTACCTTCCAGCCTCTGGAAGCTGTCAGCAGCCGCGATCGCGGCCGCCGGCGCTCCGCCTCCAGCCGGGACTTCGGCTTTGGCGGGCCGTCCGGGACGGGGTCTCCGGGGACTGCCCTCACGTGCTGGCTCCGCAACCTCGGGTCACCTGGACGGGGGTGGTTGGTCCCCCCTCCCCACGCCTTGCCCGGCTTCCGGAACCGCTTTGATGGGGCACTGCAGGATGACCAACACTTGTCCCAGCCCTGCGCCAGAAACAGCATTTTACAAGGAGGAACCCGAGGCTCCGAGGGGTTTAACCCGCCGAAAGCCACACAGCTAGGAAGTGACCCAGCCGCCCCTCCCCCGTCTGTGACTGCAGGTTCTTCGGCCCCCTCCTCCAAAAAGCATTCCCGGATTGGCCCTGTCTCTGCGTCCTGGCTCTGCCCTCCTCCTCATCCACCAGCTCGGTAACCCTTTCTGTTCCTGGGTCTCGCAGTGTGTGGGTCCTTGTCACACCCGCTCCGAGCGAACCTCCCGACACCCTCGCTGGAGCCGCCGGACAGCCTCCCTGACAGGACCCTCCCAGGCACCTGCCCCTTCTCGGGGCAGCCCCACGTCAGTGTCACCCCCGGCCGGTTCTGTACCTGGCGCGGAGCGCAGGTGCCCGGCTATGAAGTCACCCAAGGCAGGCGCCCCGAGTGGTACGGGGGGGCTGGCGGGAGAGCGGGAGAGCCCCCTCTTCTATCTCAGCTCCAAGGTTTGGGGCTTTGAAAGGAGACCGGAGTGACCAGCAGGACATGGCACTCCCCCGGGACTCCCCGGGCTGGAGTTCTTCTGGGGTGCTGAGCCTGTGCTACTTCCGCGTTTGCCAGAGAAGCACCACCTGCTTCTGAGGTCACTGATGACCAAGCCCCAGGGGGCCACAGGGCCAGCACAGACCTGAGCTTCAGCCAGCAAATCCACGCCCGCCCCACCCTCCTGTACCGAGCAAAACACAAGTCCTAAACGGCTTCTAGCCCGCGGGGCTGGGGGCGGAGACCACCCCCCACCGGGTGGCAGGAAGGAGAGCGCCTGTGACCAGGCCTAAGGACCACCTTTCTTCTTGTGCATTTTAAGAGTACAGGCTTCTGAGCTGGGTGTGGTGACTTGGGCCTCTAATCTCAGCACTCTGGAGGCTGAGGCAGGAGGCCCACTCCGTGAGTTGAGACTAGCCTGAGCTACATAGTGAGTTCAAGGCAGCCTCAACTACATAAGGAGACACCCCCACACACACACACACCAGTACAGGCTTCAGGTTAGGAGGGGGTCTGAGGGCAGAGGCTTTGTGGCATCCATGAAGTTCAATAAATGATAGTTTTAAAAAGATCTGACTTTGGAGTCCTGTTCCCAGCGACACTAAGCTCGAGGGTGGCACCCTTTCCACGTTGGCCTCCCCTGGGTGGCAGAGGGGACGATAGCTGTCCCAAATGCTAGAGGTCCTGTGGAAGCCGGGTGGGTTCACTCTCTGTAGGATCATCAGTCACAGAAGGGGCCAGGAAGGCTGTGTCACAGGAATGGACACATTCAGGAGTTGGTAGGAGTCCCATGCCAGTTCCTTGGTCTTCGGGGTGAGAATTGTCATAGTGGTCAAAGTCAAGTGAAAGCCTCTGAAACACCAACATCAGTACTCACCGCCCCAGCGAAGATAGTAAAAAACAGTACCTCAGATGGCTATTTGGGAGGCTGGGGCAGGAGGACTGCAAGGTCAAGGTCAACATGGGCAATTTAGCCAGACATGTCTCAAATAAAAAGGGGTGAGGATGTCGCTCAGTGGGAAAGCACTTGCCTAGCATGTATTGAGGCCCTGGGTTTAACCCCCAGTACCACAAAATTTTAAAATTTAAAAATCACAGACCAAGGAAAATGGCAGAGATGAATGCCATCCTTAAAAACCGAAGTCATTTGGGGTTGAGAGTTGGACCTTCATTTAATTGTATCCCTATTTATTTACTTTATATAAGTCTTGGTTTTTTGAGACAGGGTCTGGATAGGTAGTTCAGCTGGCCTCAAAGTCACTATGTAGCCCAGGCTGGCCTCGAACTCACAGTGATCCTCCTGCCTCAGCCTCCCAAATGCTGGGATTAGAGGTATGTGCCTCATGGCACTGATTTACTGTATCAGTCAGGCCAGGTGAACCAGGAGTGACAAGAAAGTGAAGACTTTGCTTTCAGTGAGCTAAATGCACTCCAGAGGGCAGCGCTAAACCCCACGTACAGCTCTGGGTTTGCCACATCGATGGTGCTCAAGGGGCCTAGCAGTCTGGGGCATCCGAGGTCAACTTCTGCAGAGGAAAGGACATATTCTGTCACCCAAAAGGAAGCACAGTATTTGCGGGCTGCTTTGGGATCTAGAGGCAGCACTTTCCACACCTGTACAGGCTGCTGTGACCTGAAGGGCTCTGGGTAACAAAGGCTTCCAGCTTGAAAGTCCAGCCCACAGCAGGAAAGGGCTGTCCCCATGCCCACAGGCCCCACGAGCCCCACAGACCCACGGTGTGGCAGGGAAAATGCTGTGTGGCATTTATGACAGGCCCTGGTAGAAAAACCACAATAACACAATGTAGACCCCAGGCTCTGGACCAAGGCGAGGCGACTGCAGCAGAGAACCATACACAGTTCAGAAAGCAGCCTGCAATGCCACTGGACCCTGGCAGAGGTGACCAAGGGACAGCAAGTGACCATGAGACCAGAGCTGCTTCTCGTGGACTGGGTTCTACTGGGCCCATTCAATTGTAAACCACAGTGATTTTTCATGAAGTAGCCACAGGGTGGCCAGGCGTGGTGGTGCACAACTGTAATGCCAGCATTCGGGAGGCTGAGGTGAGAGAATCGCCACAAGTTCAAGGCCAGCCTGGGTTAGTGAGACCCTGCCTCAAGAAATAATTTAAAATGAAAAGAAAAGAGAACAGAGTGATGTAAGTGACCCAGAGTGTGCGAAGGGGGAGATTCTCCAACCACCCCCAAGCCATTCACAGCTGGGCCCACACACCCTCCGAGTTCCAGATGTGAACAAGTGAAGGCCTCCTGGACCTCGCCGATCATCTAGAAACCAACTCATCCTGTCCCCCAAACTCCTCTGCATCCCCATCTCAGAGGTGGTGCCACCATCCACCTACCCAAGCCTGGTGTTTGGGGTACCTCTCTTTTACTGTCCCCAAGCATCAGGGCCTATGGATTTCACCTCTTTTTTGGGGGGGGGTATCAGGGATCGAACTTGGGACCTTGCACTTTTGAGGCAGGTGCCAGAACCACTGAGCTAAATCCCCAGCCCATGGATTCCACCTCTTGAACACCTCTTGGACAGGCATCCTGGCCTGTCTGAGCAGCCTCTAACAGCTCAGACCACCTCCCCAGGGGGAAGCTGGAGGCTTTAAGAGCTGCGCTGTCCAGAGCTCCTCCCCAGAATGCGTCCAGACCTCTTGTGATCCAACCTCTCCAATGCCAGTATCACTGGCCCTGGCATCGAAAGCTCTTTGCCAGAACTATGGAATGGTTCCCACACCCTCACCGGGTCCTCTGCTCCCTGCAGCTCTGCACACTTTTTTTTGGGTTTTTTTGCTTGTTTTTCGGTACTGAGTATTGAACCCAGGGCCTTTGCATTCAGCTACATCCCCAGCCCTTCTAGCTTTTTATTCCAGGGAGGGCTTGAACTTGGGACCCTCCTGCCTCAGCTCTTTTTTGTGGAACATCCTCAGTGAGGGCGACTCCCACTTGGACCTCAGTCGTGACTTCTGGGAAAATCCAGACAGCTTGGGTGCTTAGAGATTTTGGAGAAGTTGAGACTGCCCATAAAGCAGGAAGAAGTGCTCAGAAAGCCAGGCTCTGGGGCTCGGTTGCCTGGTCTGTCAGATGGCCATGCCTTGGCTAAGGTCACGCAGTGAGGCGGTGGTCTGTCCTAGCTGCCCGCGGCTTCTGCTCCCACACGTTAACTGCTTTTTTTTCGGGTTTTGGTACCGGGGATGGAACTCAGGTCTTTTCGCTTGCGAGGCAGGCGGGAGAACCAGTGAGCTAAATGCCCGACCCCCACACGTTAGCTGTGGAAGAGCAGGAACACCGGGCGACCGGGAGGCGTGGGCGCGGCTTACAGACCTGAGGGCGTGGCCGACTTCCAGGCCCTCCCGCCACGCGCCTGACGCAAATGGACATAGACGTCATGACGTCGCGTTCGTTCCTCGGGGCGCTTCCCGGGCTCGCGCGGGTCACGTGGGTCGCTTTTCGCGCGAAAACTGCTAATTGTGGGAGCGGAGTAGACAGCAACGCTGCGATGGCGGTGAGCGAGCGGGCTGGGACGGCGGGGCGCGAACCAGGCCGGGCCCGGGGACCGCGGGCGTCTGGGTTGCTGGCCGGGGTCGGTCGTCTTGGGGGCTTCCCAGGACCCGGATGCACCCGACGTCTTCCCTTCAGCGGGCTGGCGCGACACTCCGTCGGGCCCTGGCCTGGGCGCCATCTGCTCCCTTGGCCAAGTCCTGCATCTTACCCACCTTGTCCTGTGATTTCTCTTTTTCCCTTGGGCTTTTTTTGCCTGTCAGGTCCCGCCACCAGCCGTCCTAAAGTTCCAGACTTTCTAACGTTTTGGTGGCGCTCGGGTTACCTGGAACATGACGGGTGCTTTAGGTGGTCGAATGTCCGCCAAAGGGGGAAAGGATGAAAACCCCACAGGTTAAAAACCACCGGACCTCAGCGATTTTTCATGAACAAGACGAAGGGACCTGTGGGTGACCGGAACTTGAGGAAATAAGACGTGTGTCGAAGAGCTCTCAGCTGAGAGCCATCGCCTGGGAGGGAGTGGCAGGCTTTGAAACTGGAGAGGTTTGGTGCTTTTGAGAACCCGGTCGCCGCAGGCAAGGAAGGTCGGCGCAGAGTAGAAAATAGAAAAGAAGTAAAATCGGCCCACTTCCTCCTAGGTGTTTGACAGACCCTGCTTCTCTTGCAGGAATCATCCGAGTCCTTCTCCACGGCATCTAGTCCTGCCCCGAGGCGGCGAGGCAATGACCTCCTCACATCTAGCCCTGGCCGAAGCTCGCGACGCACGGATGCCCTGACCTCCAGCCCTGGCCGAGACCTTCCTCCTTTTGAGGATGAGTCTGAGGGCTTGCTAGGCACAGAGGGGCCCATGGAGGAAGAGGAGGATGGTGAAGAGCTGATTGGAGATGGCATGGAGAGGTATTTTTACTCCAGTCCTTTGCAGAGAGTACTCTGTGCTTGGTGGTCCAGCCTGGGTGCTGGGGAGTTGAATCTGATGAGGCTCTTGCTTTTGAGTGTGACTTGTCCCGGGATCTGTAAGGAGACAGAAAAGATCGTGAGCCACAGTACAGATCCATTTACATTTAACTTGCTGTGCATAAGTGGGAAAGACCAGACCCTAAAGCCTGGGTAATCCCCAACTCCATGACATTTGCATCCCATGGGACCCAGAGGTCTCCTGAAGGACCTCCTGAAAGAAGTGTCAACTCAGACAGGAAGCAGCTAACAAACAGTGCTGCTCTTTGACTTTTCAAAGAAAGGTTGCAGGGGAGTGGGTCTGATGAGTCCATTGAGAGTCTGTCAGCCAATGTTTATTATATCTAATTTGTACCAGGCCATATGTTAGAAACATTTGTAGACACAAATTAAAGGTCATAGAACTTTAATGCTGGAACACAGTGCAGTAAGCCCTGCCAACAAGCACAGTTAGGTTTCTGTTTTAAGGCTTTTGTGTCCTGATCTGGAGGCTCCAGGCCTGGCCAGGCTGGGGCTCCTGAGCCTTGGGGAGCAGGCCTGGTTCCTGGATGAGTGTTTGGGGACCGACTGCATCCGTTTGGGGCTTTTGTCAGGGACTACCGTGCCATCCCTGAGCTGGACACCTATGAGGCTGAAGGGCTGGCCCTGGATGACGAAGATGTAGAGGAGCTGACAGCCAGTCAGAGGGAGGCAGCCGAGAGGGTCATGAGGCAGCGTGACCGGGAGGCTGGCCGGGGCCTGGGCCGCATGCGCCGGGGGCTCCTATACGGTAAGTCCTGCCAGCAAGTCCTGCCATCTGCAATGCCGGAGGGAGTCCAGGGAGCAGTGGAGGAGTGGAGGGTGCCGGGAGAGGGTTCACCCCAGCTGTCCCTTGCCCACACCCCAGACAGTGATGAGGAAGATGAGGAGCGCCCCAGCCGTAAGCGCCGCCAGGTGGAGCGTGCCACAGAGGACGGCGAGGAGGATGAGGAGATGATCGAGAGCATTGAGAACCTGGAGGACCTCAAGGGCCACTCTGTGCGCGAGTGGGTGAGCATGGTGGGCCCCCGGCTGGAGATCCACCACCGCTTCAAGAACTTCCTGCGCACACATGTGGACAGCCATGGCCACAACGTCTTCAAGGAGCGTATCAGCGACATGTGCAAAGGTGTGTCCTTGTCCCTGCAGGAAACAATGACAGGGAACATTGGGTGACATGTCCACAGCTAAGCAGGATCTCGGGCCCAAAGCTCAAGGCATCTGTCTTTCCAAGGAACGCAGACATATGGAATGTCTGTACTATGACCCCCACCCCACCCCACCCCATGGTTTTTGACACACTTAAACGTGGGCAGATTTTAGGTAAAATTGATGTTATTTAGCTTTCTTTTTGGTGCTGGAGATTGAACTCAGGGAACTTGCACGTATTAAGCGTGTGCTGTACCACTGAACAACACTCCCAGCCCCTTGGATCACTACTTTGATCAGAAAGGAGCAACACAAGCTAGGTTGTAATCCCAACTAGTCGGGAGGCTGAGGCAGGAGGATCTGTAGTTCCAGCCTCACCTAGCCTACTTAGTAACTGAGCTAGACTGTATCTCAAAATAAAGAAGTAGCAATATTTTTCTGTGTGGAAGGAGTTGGTTTTAAAGGGGACAGGCAGACCTTGGTTCCTGCGGTCCCTTCTCCCTTTTCCCTCCTGTGCGGCACAGCTTGTCCATAAGTTTCCTCCCTTGGCCTTGTTGACCTTCCAGGCCCTCTGTTCCCACCCCTACACCCCCAGCTTTCCACAGTAGGTCACACTCATTTGACGAAAAGCCAAGTGGAGGCCTGGGTTGTGTCTCTTATCTAAGTTGCAGAGCTGAGGTGCGGGGGTGAAGGTGGCAGCTGGGTGTTCAGGCTCAGTCACCGTTTGGCTGGGTTGGCCTTGAGCCTTCTGTTTGCCAGCATGACCCTTACCAGCCTCTGCCCGTACCCCCAGAGAACCGTGAGAGCCTGGTGGTAAACTATGAGGACCTGGCGGCCCGAGAGCACGTCCTGGCCTACTTCCTGCCTGAGGCACCGGCTGAGCTGCTGCAGATCTTTGACGAGGCTGCCCTGGAGGTGGTGCTGGCCATGTACCCCAAATACGACCGCATCGCCAGCCACATCCATGTCCGCATCTCCCACCTGCCCCTGGTGGAGGAGCTGCGCTCACTGAGGTGAGCAAGTGCAGGGGCTGAAGCAGAGTGCACAGGGAGGCCAGGGGGATGAAGGAGCAGGTCCTGGGGGTCCACTCAGGCCCTGACGTGCCAGCTCTTCCCAGGCAGCTGCACCTGAACCAGCTGATCCGCACAAGTGGAGTGGTGACCAGCTGCACGGGCATCCTGCCACAGCTCAGCATGGTCAAGTACAACTGTAACAAGTGCAGCTTCGTGCTTGGGCCCTTCTGCCAGTCCCAGAACCAGGAGGTGAAGCCAGGCTCCTGCCCCGAGTGCCAGTCCGTGGGCCCCTTCGAAGTCAACATGGAGGAGGTGAGAGCACGTAGGTCCTGCTGCCTGCAGTTCTTCCTGTCTCTGGTCCCCTTGTGCTGGCTCAGGGTGCTGCTGCAGACAGGCCAGCACAGAGGTTTCAAGATTCAAGCCACTATTCAAAAGTCAGGCAGTTGTGTCCAAAACATCTAAGTACATGGCTTCTCTTTAAACACAGGTGAGTAGGGGCCTCTCTTCAAGGCACGAGCTTTCCATCTCTGCCTTGTGCAGGAGTGATTTTGAACCCAGGTCTCCCTAAGTTGCCCAGGCTGGCCTCAAACTTGCTATCTTTCTGCTTCAGCCTCTGTAGTAGCCAAGATGACAGGTGTGCCAGCCTGGCTTGAGGTCATAGGCCCAGCACATGTGTCTTTGTCCTTGAACGTCTTGGTGTAACCAGGACACTCACCGCTCACCCTCTGCAGTTCTGAGATTCATCCCAGCTGGAGCCCCTCGGACAGGAAGAGTGTGGGAGGTCCCAATTGTGAAACCTGCATCCAGGGAACCATGTAAGAGTGCAGTCGCCTGGCTCAGGTGGCGCAGCTATGAGGCTGGATTTAGTGGAGCTACATCTCCACCAAGGGTTCGCTCCTCCCTGGCTGTTGGGCTCCCCTTAGTAAGTGCAGGCCCCAATTCTACCTGTCACAGGAGCAGGTTTAGCTTTTCCAGTTGACTCCTGGAGGATGAGCCAGCAGAGCTAAAGTGCACAGGGCCCTTGGCAGGTGTGTGTGATAGGACTTAGACTTCATTGCTCTGCTTGAGCCCAGTGCCACTGTCACCTGTCTTGGTGTCTGGACAAGGAGCCAGCTGAGGCCCAGCTAGGAAACAGCCTAGATGCTTAGGGCCTAGGGATTTTGATGCAGGTTGTAGGCTTTAAAGCTGTGTTGTGTGTTAGTTGGCATCTCATTCCTATGACAAAATAGCTCAGTGAATCAACTTAAAAGGAGGACCTGCGGCGGGGTGGGGGAGATGGGACATCCCACCATGCATCGGGACTGGGGACTAATGCAGAGAGCCCTGTCCTGGGAAACAGTGCAGCCGGAGAGGGGGCCGCCCTCTCGCCCATCACATAGCGCATGTTCATGGGGAACCTGGTGCTAAACCGTTGGTAAATGACCTGCTTCTGGGTCGGGGATTTATACGTAGCAGAGCAGCTCCCTCGCTGTGATCTATTGAAAGTCACCCCTCGGTGGGGAGGCCCAGCACCACCCCCACTGCCCTGGTACCATTGCTTAGGGGGCTGTTCCCCCCAGGCTGCTGCCCAGGCCCTGTTGGTATCCAGATCTGTACTACAGAGGTGCCTGGGGCCATAAAGGCCATGGTTATGAGGTCCAGAACATAGAGCAGAAATGAACAACAGAGAGGGCCTCTCTGAGGCTCTTCAGTGAAAATTGAAGCCCACTGGAAAAGTGAAGAAAATCTCTGCAATAAAGGCACAGTGGACCACCGGGGTTAGTGAGTTGGTGGGATCAGCACCTCCCATCGGAACCTAGACCCTTTGGGGGAAGGGCAGCTGAAACCTGCAGTAGAACCTTGGAGAGTTCAGTCCTGCAGGAGGACAGGGAGCTCAGCTTGGGCCTTGTAGCCAGAAATCAGCCTGAATCTCAATGGACTATAGCTGGCTTGCAGAGACTAACTGTCTTAGATCTGCACACTGCTGCCCACGTTGTCTACGGTGACAGCAGAGACATACCCTGAAGGAGGCCCTTTATTTTTCTTCATTGTCTGTCCCTTCTTGTTCTTCATTTTTTTCCCTTTTTGTTCTTTTCCTGACCTACTTTGGGTTTTTTTCTCTGTTCTCTGGAATACCATTTTTATAGGAAGGTGAATATAGCTTCTAGTTTCCCTATTGCTATTAATTTGTTCTGTTCTTGTTCCTTCACTCTGTCTTTTCCTCTTGTCTTTAATAATTTCCCAAAGTTTTTGTGATCTTCCTGTGTCCTCTGGCCTCACTTCTGACCTTTCCCTCTCCTTTTAACTCTCTATCCTTCCCTCCCCAACTCCTACATCCTTATCTGAAGGGTAAATTTGCTATATTGAAGCGTTTATTTGCTACAAACATTTTTTGCTGGTCCTCAATTTGATCTAGTTCACACAGTTAAAGGTGACAGATTAATGGCTACAACAAATTGTCATTTTCTAAGCTGTGTTTGGTGCTATTGTTGATGCTGATTGTATTACTTGGGCTAAGTTGTAGTGATTGATACACTGGTATATTGAAAACAAGATTGCCTAAGAGTCATTAGAGACTCAAAACCTAAGACCAGTTATACCCGGAAGGCACCCCTGAGAAGCAATCATTCCATAAGGGTTCTAAGTACAAGCAATAAAGATACTCACAATAAGCAATACTGAAATATCAACCCAGGAATTAAACCAAAACCAGCAACAGCAACAATAGAAATGAGAAGACACCTGAACAAAGCACAGAGCCAGACTTCCATCTCACCAAAGGCAAATTCTAGGAGCAGCGAGGTGGAAAAATTTGATAATCAACCACCTGGACACCCTGAACTGATAGCATGGGAAGTAACAGATGAATGAGGCTCTAGAAAAATTCAAAAGAGAAATAATTTCCCAGATAACTACAGAGATGGTGAGCACAATGAAAGACATGATTAGAGATTCTAGAACAGAAACGGGGAAAAAAATAGATGAGCTCAGGACCATGCTGGAAGCCATGAATGCCTAGCATAGGAAAGAAATGGAAACCATGAAACAGATTCAGACAGATATCCAGGAGATGAAAATCAGCCCCTGACACAAGGGTTTTTTTTGAAAAAAAAAGCTTACAAGAAGAAAAGGTTCAGTTTGGCTCAGTTTCAGGTCTTGCTCCAGTTGTCCAGGTCTGGGAGGCACAGTATGCCTGGCAGGGACCATGCCATGGAGCAGGGACACCAGAGAGATCAGGAGACTGGCATCCCTGGTCCCCTCCAAGGGGGTGATCCAGGACTTGCCAGGAGTGCTGTGGGCGCACTCCTGTCCCGGCTTTGCCCTGCCACCTCCTTTCTGGCAGTGAGTGAGACTGGACACTGGGTCTTAAGGCACAGCAGAGGCACAGAGTGTTAACTTGCCCCTGTGGGTGCTGCTTTAGGCACTTTATGCACCTGGCCTGATTGTTCCTCCCCACGAGCTTGCAGTCACAATAACAGCATCCTTGTTCTTCAGGGAAGGGACAGCGAGGAAGCTCTGCCCAGGTCACAGCTCCATACACAGCCAGGATTTGAACCCAGGTGTCCTGGTTCTGGCATCCACACTCACGTAGCTGAGCTGTGCAGAGGGAACAAGTGCTTGAGTCTAGCAGTGGCTCATCCCGAGGGCTGGTGGCAGACGTGGATTGTCCACCCATGTGCTACATCACGGTGGGCTTGTTCTTTACTGTCTTGGTTCTCAGTTTCTTAGTTAAGAGGCAAAAATAGTAACACTGTTTGTCTGCCCTCCTGTGGACTGAGGTCAAGGTTGGTAATAGGATAAGGCAGTTCTTGGGGGAGAACGAGTCCTGTGCCATGCAGGACAGGGTCTGTGACATACTCTTTGTCCCATGCAGACCATCTATCAGAACTACCAGCGCATCCGGATCCAGGAAAGTCCAGGCAAAGTGGCGGCCGGCCGGCTGCCCCGCTCCAAGGACGCCATCCTCCTTGCTGACCTGGTGGACAGCTGTAAGCCAGGAGACGAGATTGTAAGTGGCCAGGAATGGGCTGGGAGGGAGCCTGCTGCAGAGGGAATTGGTGTGAGCACTGTGGCCCTCAGGGGACAAGGGGTTATAGTGACTGGGAGCCTGGACTGAGGTCAGTTCTTGAATCACTGGGGGAAAAAACCTCTTCCTCGTGGTGGACCAGCTGTTTGGGAAGGCAGGTTTCTATGTTTACCAGCTTCCTGTTGCTGTGGTGATCAATTGAAAGGAGGGAAGGTATATTCTGGCTGACAGTTTCAGAGGTTTCAGCCTTTGGCTGCTTGGCCTTGATGCATTAGGCCTGTGGCAGCACATTGTGCAGGGGGTGTGCTGGAGGAGCCCTGATCACCCTGTGACCAGGAGCCAGAGAGACGGGGCTGCATCCAGTGTCCCTTCAAGGCTTGTCCTCATGACCTAACTTCCTCCCACAAGCCCTGCTTCCTGGGTTCCACCTGTCCCAGCAGCATCCTCTAAGGGCAGAGCCTTTAACCACACACCCCTGGGGCATGGTCTCGATCCACACTAGCAGTTTGGACAAGGTTTCCTTGTTTTGCTGTGTTCCTCACAGTGGTGCCTATAGTGTGGGGAGCTGGAGACAGGAGAGGATGGAGGAAGTAGCATTCGGGGCTCTGGCCGCACCTGTGACCTCCACCCCATCCCCCACCCTCTCCCCTTCCCCAGGAGCTGACTGGCATCTACCACAACAACTACGACGGCTCCCTCAACACTGTCAATGGCTTCCCTGTCTTTGCCACAGTCATCCTGGCCAACCACGTGGCCAAGAAGGACAACAAAGTGGCTGTCGGGGAGCTGACAGACGAGGATGTGAAGATGATCACTAGCCTCTCCAAGGACCAGCAGATCGGGGAGAAGGCAGGTGGAGGAGGGAGGGTGCCGGGCCTCATCCTCTCCTGCGACCACCCTGGATCCTCCCCATGCACCCGAATTTCCCCTGTGGAGCTGGGTCCCCTGTGGCCTGGTGGAAGGCCCCTGTCTGGGGCGAGGGTGTAAACTCTGGCATCGGGAATGGCACCCCCAGCTCCAGCTCTGCCATGTGCTGCACGTGCTGAATGCCTCTCTGGGCCCCTGTCCCCATCTATGACAGGGAGAGGAGGGACCTGTACGGGACAGGGTCGCTGGAGGATTAGGTTGGAGTCCCAGTGCCTTCAGCCCGGTCACACCCTGGCTGGAGGAGAGCAGGAGGCTCCATCTCTCCTGCTGCTCCTGCTCCCTGGTGTTCGACACCAGGCAGCAGTCATGGGCTGAGGTTTGCTTTCGTGGAAATGCCGTCACTCACAAGAACGCGGAGTGTCTGCTCAGGAGAGCCTCTGCCTTTTCCCCTCTCCGGCCCTGTCCTGCCCCAGAGGCTGTGTGTTCTCAGGCTCCCTGCCTGCTCCTCTGCTTTCTGTTTCCTTCCTCTCTGTCCTTCTTCTCATCTTGCAGTTGGGTTGTAAGGCACCACAGTGGGGTCCACCCTCTGGCTGTAGAGCCAGTGCTTGGGCCAGTGCGGGATCCAGATTGTGGGTGGTGTGTGTAGGGACTTGGTCCTTTGGTGTAAGGCTCCCCGGGAGCCCAGGCGGGGGAAGCTCTTGGGTGACTGGAGATGAATGAAAGGCAGGTGACCAGGACAGGGGTGCACCCAGGCTGCAGATGTGCTGATTTGTCTCAAGCCGTCTTCCCTGAGGCCTGTGGAGCTCTCGACTCCCAGCTCCTCTTTATGTGGCCCCTGGGTCCCCGTGTGTCCCTTGGCCTCTCTCCTGAGCAGGGTCTCCTTGCTTCTGAAGCCCCTTACTTTCTTCCTTGGGGCGTCTTCTCTAGGTGGGCACTGTAGTTTGGCCTCGAATCTCTCTCTCACCTCTGTGGCGTGCCTTTGATTCCCTGCGGAGCTGCTGTGTAATCAGAAATGCGGTGGGTTTGAAGATAGCTGGCACTCACGGGCCCAGCAGAGGTTGGCTCGGCTTTCTCCACTTCCTTGGTTCTAGCCTTTCTTGCCCCAGAAAGTCATCTTTCAGCATGTCTGTTTCTGTCTCCCCAAATCATCCCTGAATCTTGCAGTGCTGGGGCCGGAAGCTAGGGCCTCATGCACGCCAGGTGAGCACTGTCCTGCCGAGCTCTGTGCACAGCCCTGGCCCTGATTGTTTCTGTGATGACCGATGTCCCTTAGCTTGCAGCCTTGGAGATGGGAATGCCTGTATTGCTTGTGTGTCGTCTGCCCAGGAGCCCCTGGAAAGGCCACCTTGCCAAGCTTGGTGCCAGTTCCAGCTCATCCCCTGTTCTGGGTTGGAAGATTGAGCCGGGCCATCCTAGTCTGCCGGGAGTTGGGGAGCCCATAGGGAAGGTTGGTGTCCTCCAGCCTCAGGAGAATGAAAACTTCAGTGGACACGTCCGTTCCTTGCCTGCCTTCTAGGGTCAAGTTCTTGGGGTGCGGTGGGTAAAGGACACACGGTTGTTGTGCTTACAGAGCTCATGTTGTGGGGTCCCTGGTAATGAGACAAGACAAAGAAACAAAATCTGGGGTTTCATGGGGTTTTACGTGCTAGGTGTCGGTAACTGGTAGGGAGAGAAAGCTACATCCTGTCACTGCTGTCATCCTGACCCCAGTTCTACCCCTAGCGCTCTCCTCTGACCTCTTGGTGGAGGGGACCAGAAGCCTGCAGGTTTGGGTGCATTAGACGAGGCCTCTCTCCAGGACACGGTCCCTGGGAAGGTCTTGTGCCCCAGACTTAACAGCTGCTAGCTGCCCCCACACAGAGGGCTCTGCTGCACTCCTCTAATTTCTGGGTTTCACCTCCAGCGGGGTCATGTGCTGATGGTGTTTGCGTTTATTTTTAAGCCAGTGCTTACCCTTCAGAGCTCAGGAGACCTTATGTAAAAATCCCAATGCCTCTTGAGTTTTTGAAGTCCAGTGCCAGGCACGCTAGGTGTGTGTTACTTTCCTGAACCCCAACTACAGTGAGCAGCGGCTGGCTGAAGGCGGTGGCCCGTCTCCTCCTCTGTCAGCCTGTGGTCCTACTCCTTTCTAAAGCGTTCATTTATTTGATTTTGCATCGTGGTCACACTGAAAGAAAGGGTCAGGTATCAAGGAGAGAAATGTTGCACCTCACACTTAGATTTTAAAGAGGTGCCAGGAGAACCCGCATCCGAAGGCAGACAAATCAGTGGGATTTCAGCCTGACCCTTAGTGTTTTCGGATGGTAGGCCCTCATCCGTGAGAGCGAGAGGAGGGAACTGTCTGGGTAACCGAGCACATGCGTATTGCTGGCTCTTGGGTTGCTCGCTTGCTGTCACAGGAGTTAGACTACCCACAGACCGAACACACTGAAGTGGGGGCTGTGCATGGA